TCTCTTCCCAGCAGTCTGACTGCTCTCCCGGTCTCTTCCCAGCAGTCTGACTGCTCTCCCGGTCTCTCCCTGGTCCTTTTCCCCCTTCCCTCTCAGTCTCCCCCAGTGCCTTCCTGGTTTCCTTCCGTCCCCCCCTTTCATCTCATCCAGAGCAAGAAGTAATGTTTTCAGTGTTGCTTCATCTCCTCTGAATCATTTTCTCAAAGTTATTGTTTCTCATTTTCTCCTCTAAAGTGTTGGTAGTCAACACTTATGATTTAAAATAGAAACAGCTCATGAAAATGTGTTAATTGCTGCTGTTCCCAGTAGTTTCATAAACGATGTGCTTGTCTGTCTGGTGATCAGGGCACGTAGAGAGTGATGTTTATTTTTACATCATAACGGTGGTAGTTGCCATAGCAGGCGGTGAAGCTAATCAGCAAATGAGCCTATTTCTGGAAATAAGAATAATTTCAACAACCCAATATACGTCCATCGTTGGATGGAAAATTTGTGTAATAATGTAACATACCACACCTGTAGTAGGAACATGTACTTAGCCTCCTGTGGAAGATTCTTCCTCCAGCTAGTGTGGCTATGGGGAGCTCTGCACATAAACCTGTGTGGCTTATTTCTAGTGTCCCAGCTGGCTAGTGTAACTGCAATAAGAACTGTAGCAGCCCCCCCTTAGCACCTGGTCTGAAGAGATCGGGTCACAAGGTTCTAATGCTGCTGCTGCGATACCTATTTGCACCAAGCATTATAAAGGAAAAATATGAAAATACTGAGACAATGGCTGAGAGCCCTGTTCCCCCCCTTCCTTTCCACCCTCAGCACCTCGAAGTCAGAGTCGTTGAAGCCATAGATGATGTTCCAGCCCAGCTGAAGGAACTTCTTCCTCTCCAGCAGCACGCTATGGAAGAAGCAGAGGGAGAAGAGCAGCTTCTTGTAGACGGAGGGCTTGGAGCAGCGGTTGAACTGGGGCTCCGTCACCAGCTGGTACAGTCGCTTCATGTTGGCCTTCAGACCCTGCCGGGAAAGGGACAGAGATCGTCGGCACGCTGATCTTCCTCCCTGCGCAGGCAGTGCCACGGTCATCATTACCGCAACTGCCATCACAGTCAAAATCAGCAAAAGCATCATCACCACCGTTGGTTTGAGCTTGGAACTACTGTCACATTAGTTACAAAGAACTGTGATTCCGTTACTCCCAGTGTGAGAGAAAGGTCGGTTCAGTCAAGATGGAGATTCATTCTCTTCCACCCAGAAGGCAATGAGTAAAGACCTGCCATTCTCAGCTGGGTGAAGACCACATGGAGGAAGACAATCGGTCAAGTGGCATTTAAACCCAGGAAGCTGAGGCTCCAAGGGGTCGTTGGGCTCTTGAAAGCCAGCAGAGCCTCTGTCATGTGTTTGCATTAGAGGGGTATGGGAGCAGAGAAAGAAAAAACTGGCTGACAAGCCAAGGATATAAAAATGAGAGTGTCTGTCTTACAGAGAGACTTGCAGTATGTTTTTGGAGCCAGTAGGCAGCTTAGGTGTCCTGTTATACTCATAGACAGGGACTAAACAAGTTTAGTTATAGCTTGGAAGAATAGCTAGGCTCTTGTTTTTGGTTTGTTTGTTCTAAAAGTAAGAATACATCCTGGACTGATCTGTGTTAAAGTGGAATGTTATCATGTGCAAAGGTCTCTGAGGCAAACTACCAGAAACACGGGTATCTCCCACAAAGAAACACAAGGCCTATTCCGCTGTCAGCTTGTGTGCCTCAGTGTTTCCCAGAATGCTGTGGTATCTCCCAAAATGTCTTGGTGAGCCTCAGGCCACTCTGTATGACACATGTCACATGTATGACAGTCTCCCTGTGTGTGTGAGGGGGATCTGGTTTCTCAGTGCACCTCTCAGTGTCTTGGGGGGGGGGTCTTGGTATCTCTAGGGGTGTCTCAGCCAGTGTCAGGGCCCAGGTACCTTGGGTGGCTCCGTGGTCATCTTGATGCCAGCCTGCAGGATGGCAATGGGGAAGTCGGGGTGCGGGCTGGAGCTCAGCCACAGCCGGAAGTCGGGGTGAGGCTCCTCCACCTGCAGCTGCTCCACCAGCTTGTCCAGCTGGGGCATCCAGGACAGGGACAGGTGACAGTTTGCCAAGAACACCCAGTTTCCTGCACCAGGCCGCATGGGGAGAGAGAGATAGGGAGAGTGACAGCTTGAGAGGGAGAAAGGAACAGAGACACAGAAAGAGAGGGATATGAAAACAAGAGGAAAGAGAGGAAGGGGAACAGTTTGAGAGCAGAAGAGTGGGAGAGGGAGTCAGGGAGAGAGCGAATATGAGGCAGAATAAGGAGGGTATAAGAAGACACAAGACACAGACAGACAGCCATATCTACATATATACTCACGCCCACCTCACACCAACCCCCATTCCTTGGCACTCACCATCCTTCACCCCATTTTTGATCATGCGGGTGGCGATGGGCGCCTGGCCCTGCCCCAGTGAGAGGGCGTGGAAGCGCTGCCCCATGCCGGAGGCCTCGGCCAGCTGCAGCAGTGCGCCTGTGGGGTCCACCCCCGGAGACAGGACGAAGATCAGGGGTGTCTTGGGGGTGGAGTCGTCCACAACCTACACAGAGAGTGAGGGTGAGAGGGAGAGACCCAGGAAAACAGAGAGAAAGAGTCCAGTAACACGTTCGTACTGCAAATGTCTGTAAATCTTCTGTTAATTGTATCTGTTTTGGCAACACTGTAGTTCATTGGCCACACCAAGAAGACCCTTTGAGTTTGAATAAGAGTAACGGAGATAGAGACAGATAGAGAGGGAAGAGAGAGAAAGGAAAGGAAAGACGGGGAGGCTTGTTTTCCCTTTCTCTTAAAAACCAAGAGATACAAGAGATACATGTCACAATGGGAAAGTAAGGGGGGGTCGAGGGTGAGAGGCAGGGGCCGTCGCTAGAGGCTCACCGACTTCATGTCCAGCACGGGGGGCTCCACAAACTTGGAGCCGAGGTTGTTGATGATGAAGGTGGTGACGCAGAACGCCACGCGGTCCTGGCGTAGGGAACGCACGATCAGCATCCTCTGCAGCTCGTTGTAGCCGTTCTCCCACTCCGCTGCCAGACACACAGAGACCAGTAGTTAGGACCAGCCGCTTGCTTTCGCCAGCGCAGGTTAGCGTGCTCCGTTGGCGTACAGGGAGCTAACGAGGCGCCCTCGTCTCACCGGGCAGCGGGGCAGTCTCAGGCGTGGCGCTGGTGTACCACAGGTGCCAGTCACGCGGGTTCTGCTCGAAGGAGTTCATGATGCCGTGGAAGTTGGTGAGCTTGTCCAGCTCCGTGATGTTGTCCCAGTTGGAGTCCGAGAGCCAGCCGGGACAGGGGTTGTCCATCTGGCCCTCTTTGTCCAGCACCTGCAGACAGATCACAGACAGGTCACAGTTTTCCTACGAGACAACCTCCAAGACACTTACAAAGCCTACAGGTGGAAGACAGCGCACTGAAAGTGCTGCCACAAAGCCCTGACCCAACTTCTACTGGCTCAGTACAGGATCACAAAAACCAGAGCAACACCAGTGCAATCCAGCAAACCTCTGCCTTGTGTCGTGATACAGCATATCTGATATTAAAGTCCTCTCTAGAGCTACAACAGAGGTACCTTGCAGAGGTAACAAAAAACAAAGTGAAAAAAACAAACTATTAAGTCAACGGTTTTATAAAATATCAATTTTTAAAATTTTTTCACTGTTTGTGAGATTTGATTTAAAATGATTGATTGACATATTAGTCAATATTATGGTATGGTTAGGTAATCAGATGTAATAAAGGGTTACAGTATATTTCAATTAATGCTAGCAATTAATAGTATTTAAAATTTCATTGAAATTGCCTACGTTCTTCTACAGAAGCATAGGCGTGTTTGATCTGCGTCTGTCTCCACTATTTAACCCTGTATGTGGCTCAGTTCAGTCACAGAGGGCTGGAAGAGACCCCTGTAGCTGTCTGGGACCCTGCTTTTGAGTCACCCAGCTGGTGTTTCTACAGAATGCTGCCATATGGGCTCCTAGGTGATCCACCAGTGAAGGTGTGGTCTAGGAGTGTAGGCAGAACTGTACTATGTTGGGTCGAGCCTGGGTCATGCCACCAGCCAGTGGTGATGGGAGCCCAAAAGGCAGTGCACAATTACCACCCAGAGGCAGGGTTGGGATTAATTGGCCTCCTGCTGGATGGGCAGGTTGTCATGGAGAGAGGCATCACTTCTCCAGATGAGACAGTACATCTGATAAAAACTGTCTCTGACAGGTGAGCGTCTTCATGTCTTATTCTCTCCTGTGTGAATCGCTGGAGAGCCAAGTCTTAAAACATCGGTTAGTAGACCCATACTAGGTGAGTACATCACAAAGCATCAACAGCGATATGGATGGTTAAAAAGCAGGGACGTGCTGCCCACCACGCTCACCTGCCCCCCGCGCAGGAAGAAGTTGTACTCGTTCATGTTGAGCTTGCCGGCCACCTCCAGGATCTTAGCGCACATCTGGAAACTGAACAGCAGCTTGTGATGCTCGAACAGGCCGCGGCACGTGTACCTGTGGAGAGACAGGTGATATGGGAGGGGCGCAGGAGTCTTTGACTGTGCTGCCTTGACAGACTGCTGCACGCTTAGTTCAGACAAGATAACGCAGCTCTCGCCGAAGGAGGCAAAACAATTCTCCTTTTGTGGAAGTTGGCAGGATTTCGTAAGGAACTCTCAAGCTCAAGATAAGGGCACTGTATCTCTTCAGTCTTTCTTCATTCATTTTAGTTTACACATTTCCAAGTTACACTATATATACAGTTGCAGAACAAATGTAGTGACATGTGGCCAGTCACTACTTCATTAGGAGCAGTAAATACTAGATGTTAAGCCACCCTAATCCATCAGTAATCCCTCTTCTGAGTTTACTGAACACTAATTTATCCCTTAAACCCCTTAGTTCTAGTGAGTTTATGATCCATACTGTAGGGCCTTTACAAATCCAAAGAGCTGGGTTTCAAGGAATGCATTACATGGGCAGGTTAAAGGGGTTGAATATCTTAAGTTTTGAACAAAGAGGAGAAGAAGAACACTTGACAAAAGTGTTTTAAAGCCGAAAAGATACTGATAAAGTCAACTCCAGGGACTGTAAGAGCTCCCAACAGTCTAACAACAAGAGCAAGAACCCAGGGATACATGTGGAGCTAAGAAGCAGAACATTCAGGAATTTTAGCAGGAAGCACAGGTGGGCTCTGGTAACCCTGCCCCATTTGCTTCAGCCTGTTCCCTTGGCTCCTACAAGACACGGCTAGATGAGCTAGATGAGGTTGCTCAGCTATCAGCCAGTGAAAGGCGCAAGGCGAGCGGGATGGGGTGCCTCTCCACGGGGGCTCCCCTGATCGTACCTGTACACGGCGTAGGTGTGGTAGTCGTTGAGATTGTTGATGCGCTCCTCCAGCTTGGCGCTGCGCTGGCTCTTTTCGATGCTCAGGTTGAACAGGTCGATGTAGGCGTCCAGGGAGAACTGGTACATGGGGTCGATGCGGCCCATGTCATTCAGCACGAAGAACAGGATGGAGGCGCGCTGGGCGCAGGGGCGGTACGCCTGCACGTGTGCAGAAAAACACAGACGGACAAATCTGATCTTTCTTGTTTTGCAATCAGGTTGTGCTGTTATTCTCTGTGTGTTACAGCCAGACAGCCCTTATCCCCATGAGTCCACACAGAATCCTCACCTATGTGCTGTTACCTTCTGTGTTTTAGAGTCAGACAGCCCACACTGCCCATGAGTCCACACAGAAGCATGTCTCACCTCTCTCGCTGTGTCAATCTTCTTCTCCGTCTGCTCGCTGCTCTCCAGCTGCTCTGCCACCTCAGTAGCTGTCACCTTGGAGCTCTGCAGAGTGTTCACCAGCTGAACATCATCCAGCAGAGAGCCCGTGGCCTCGTTCAGCAACCTGAAGGACATGCAGCAAGTCAGACCTCCCAACTCTACCCGTCAACAATTCTTTCTATACCTTTTCATAGCCTCACCATGATTTGGGACAACGCTAGCAGAGTGGATCATGTTGGAACCTGTCTGTAATACTATATCAAGGGTCCCATAAACACACCTTAAGTGTTGATTGATTGACAATAATTGACAATCATTGGTTGAGCCAATATTACATGACTTTACTGATATATTGACCGATTGTTAGATTAACTGATTGATTGATCGTTTGACTGACATACTGATTGACTGGCTGATATAATGTTGATCAATTAGTTGATTGTGAGGGTGACTGGCAGACTGGTGACATGGCCAGTGGAGGGTGCTGTGACCACAGCATCATGGCTGCTGTACCTCAGGATCTCATCCTCCAGCTCCTGCAGCTTCCTCTTGCCGGACGCGATGTTGATGACCAGGGAGTCCTTCTGCTCCTCAAGCTCCGGCCTTTCCTTCCGCACCACGATCCCCAGCAGCTGTGCTTCCAGGCCCTGGCACGGACAAACCGGACACAGAGATGTCGGAAGTTCCCTAGGCGGGCAGGACCTGCTCTGTGCCGTGACTAGCCTGGGCAAGCGCTCACCTGCTCCTTGACGGCGAAGTTGACGATGGTGGTCTTCGTGGAGATCTCAGGGGTGTAGTGGGGGTTAGACAGCTTGGTGGTGATGTAGAACCGGAACTCGGGGCTGTACTCCACCTCCTTGTCACCCAGGCGGATCAGCAGGCGGCCACCTGCAGAGTCACAGCGCACAAACAGCACTTCATACTGCGCCTCCCCCAGCACCGGGCTGCAGTCCACTGAACTCAAAACACAAGTGGCAAACCCTTGGTCTGTGGTGGGGCTCAGACTCTGATTAAGGTTAGCATCATTGTTAGGGGTCTGGACAGGGGTTAAAGTTAGCATCAGGGTTAGGGTTTCAGTCAAGGTAGGGTTCAGACTGTGCTTAGGTTAGCATCAAGATTAGGGGTTCGGTCAAGGTGGGGTTCACACTGTGGTTAAGGTTAGAATCACGGTTAGGGGGTCAGAGGTTAACATCAGGGTTCGGGTTTAGAGTAAAGGTCAGTACAGCTATCATTCATGGATAAAGGCAGAGGGCGCCATGTCAGGATTGTGGTCAAGCTCAGGCAGGGGCACTGACCCACTCTGGTGAGGGACTTGTTGAGGATGGGACCCAGTGAGGGATCCAGCTCCTCCTGGACATTCTGCAGCAAGGTTGGGGAGCCAAACTGCACGGCGTTCTCCAGAGTGCGCAGGAAATCCTGCATCTGCAGGTCAATCACCTTTAGGCCCTGCAGACAGACCAAAGGAAGGCATGACAAGACTGCAGCATTCAGAGCAGCAGTGCACATGTGAGACGAGCGGACTGTGCAGAGAAAAGGACTAGATTGTGAGCAGGTGATGGGCAGGAGAGAGAGCAACAGAGTCCCAGACAACAGTGCAACAGTGAGAAAGAGGTAAAGAAAGGCAGACAAAACTTTCGGCTTATGAATGATTTTTTTAGAAACAACCGTAAGTGAAAACAAAACTCCACCTTCGAGCCCTCCATGTTCTTGATCCACTTGAGGGCTTGTCCTTGAGGGTCGATCATCAGTGGCCACCTGGAGACCGGACAGAGAGGGACAGAGAGAGACAGGAGAAGGACGGACAGGACAAAGAGGACAGGAGAGAGGTGAGGAGAGGAAGACAGGAGGGCGAGAGGGCAAAGGGGATGGAAAAGAGGATTGGACAGAAGGGAGGGAAGGAGAGAGAATTGAAAAACTCAAATTGATCAAATCAAAGGTGCAGGCAGCTGCGCTGTGTCCAGCACAGTCCAGCGGAGTATGGTTAGGGCAACAGCTTCATGAAGTTAGGGTGTGTGGTTTTATCTTATTTTGATCTTATTTAACATTCACTTTTATACTCTCCTTCACTTTATATACTGTAAGTACATGCATTTGAAGCTATATAATGAGAGTGCATCTTTGACATTTCTTAACACGAAGGGTAGAAGGGACCTGGACCAAGCCTCATAGCCAAATTATTGAAGCAGGTTTCCACATCAATAAGCAACTATTTGTCAAAAGAGCAAGATGGACTGTGTCCTCTCAATCCTGACCCTTCTTATTTCCCACTTAATCACTATTCCTGGATCGCACTGCAAGAAAGCAAGAATCCTTGTCTTTCGAGACGCCCATGAGTGTGTGGGAAGAGAGGGGGTGCACACCGGTTTCCGCGGGTGACGATGACTCCGTTCTCGGTGGAGAAGGCATCAGAGGGCAGGCCCTGGATGTTCCAGTCACGCACGGCCGTAGGTTTGGACAAGAAGGTGGCAAAACTGAAATTGGGAGAGCAAGGCACGGACAACTCCTTGATCTGGGGGAGAGAGATGAACAGAGTGAAACACAGAGTGAGGAAGCCAGGAGGAAGTCAAGAGAATGTCACTAGTTTCAGAAAGGGAGAAACCTGTAGGCAACTGAAGCTCAATCGTAGCCATTAACCTGCAGAACTGGATCAAAGCATCCAGGTAAACAAGCAATGTCTCAAACTCCTTTCATACAGCTCATCTGTAACTTCACATTCACACTCATCCCTATCAGATCTGTAGAGACTGTAAAGACACTCAGTCCAGCTCATCTGTATCTTCACATTCACACTCATCACCA